CATAACATAATACATTTTTTCTAAAAATACAGGTTTTAAGGTATATACAAAAATAAAAAAACAAAAGTTACATGCATAAAACATTATCAAAATCGAGTAACTAAGATAACAAAATAATACAATTTTCTCTGCTGACTTCAAACAACAGGATAGGAAAATAATACTTATAAACTGGTCCGCTGCATATTTTTCGGACGTTCTGTCTTCATATTTCCTTGCCTCATAACAACCTGCTTCGTTGCTTCCTCGCACGAACAAGGACAGAGTAATGCCTGCAAAGATAAAACTTATGAGTTTCTGCCTAAAATGAGAAAAAAACATGAATTTAAAATTTCAAATATTTAAAAAAGCAACCCAAAATATCGCCAATGGCATGAAGTAAAAATAATTTAGGGAGATCGCCGGTAAATGCGCCTATGTCAAGGGGAATTCTGAATTGCATCAGGAAATCAATGCCTTGGCTAGAAATCCCTATCCCCCATGCTACCTCATACATCCCTAATTTTAGAAGGTTGCAAAGAAATGCTTGCCATCGCCGAATCCGCTAATTTTTTCGTTATTTTTAAGCGCGAAGGTCAGTTAGCCGAACCGTTTTCACTGGCAATCATTGATTAATACGCCGAAAACAACCTCGAGGTAGTACTTCTTCGCGCTCTACAGAAGACGACGCTGCACGTGCCCTTCTATTGGTCACTGCAGCGCTCCTTGGCCAGATTGTTCTTGGTGAGAACAAGACACTGGCGTGGTAGACTCTTCGGGGGCATATGAGATAATAAAGGGTCTTATTAGACCGCATATATCAGAAGAAAAAGGTGCGCGAAATGCACCAGTGAGAGCATGACTGCTTGCCAAAAAACCCACAGACGTACCTTGTACTGTATTTTCGCAGGTGCAGAAGTTGTCTGGCATCCGTCTTTTCCTTCATCTCTTCTGCGCATTTTCCCTTCCGCTCCCTCCTGCCGCTTTTTTGTGTCCGTCGCCAGCACTTGGGCTTTTCACTTGTTTGCCACATTTTGTGGGAGCTCGGAAAAACCGATAAACTTTATGCCACCCAAACGTTCCTTTACTAGTCGAGGGAACTTTGGCAGCTCATCCGGATGACAGTTCCCACACATCTGTCGAGCGCATTCACGAAGACTGTTCTGGAAACTGTCATTCATCGAAACCATCTGCCTGAATTTTGAGGACAAAGGTTCGTACAGAACAATTTTGCCGAACGCGCTGGCAGCAGGCGCATTTCTCGCTTAAGTCGAATCCCGTCTGCGTCCACGCGCCTTCCCTCCTCAACGTGACTGCGCAGCGCGTTCAGTCACGTTGAGACGCGCAAATTTAGCGTTCTTCATTGCGATGCTCATCTGCGCCTGCCACTGGAGCACCCTCGCACTCCACGCATCCAGTGGACTGCCCTCGGCTGCGATATCCAGGCCATACTCCAACAACTGGATCCTTCTCTGTCTTCTCCACATATTTTCTTAATCAGTGATGTCCAAATTCATCTTTTGGCATCGGAAATACGCTGCTGGCAGAGGGTGCTGCGCTTGCTGTTGCATGTAATATCGTTCGTTTTCGGTACGGTTCCCGTAACTGTGGGCAAGTGCAGTGCCTCGATTCTCGCCAGCTTCGTCTTTGCATCACTCGCGTCTTCTCGCACTGTTCAGGGAATTCTTCTTCTCTGGGTAGTAAAATAAAGATTCTTTAGTGAATCGTGTCGGAGACTGGTACAACACAAATAGTGCGCGACTGAACCGAGAAAATTATAATAGTTTCCATCCAGCAATATCTCTGAAAAAAAATTTTTTTTGTTAAATTATTCAGTACAGAGGGCGAGCAAAATTTCGAACGAAAACACAATAAGAAGCGTTGGCCCAAAGAAGAACGGTGCTTCTTCGCGGGGGGAAGGAGGCGAGGGGAAGATACCAGGATTTTTTGAAACAGGCTACTCAAATACTCATTTGGGCCTGGATTCCTCCCAAAAAAGTGCCGACGGATCTGGGAAGCAAAACTCAGTCAGGCATATGAGCAGCATGATAAACAAAAATCTTTGCATGATCGCTTCCCTCTCTTAATTATGCATTCCTCGTGATCCTGAATGACTGTCTTCGCCCTCACTTATCCATAGGCGGAT